TGGAAGCACCCCTGAGCCCTCTAGGGCTATTATATGGAGGTACCCCTGGGCCCTCAAGGGCTATTAGATGGAGGTACCCCTGGGCTCTCAAGGGCTATTATATGGAGATACCCATAGGTCCTCAAGGGCTATTAGATGGAAGTACCCCTGGGCCTCAATGGCTATTATATGCAGGTACCTGTGGGTCCTCAATGGCAATTATATGGAAGTACCCCTGGGCCCTCAAGGGCTATTCCTACGGGGGTATCTTTGGGTCCGCAGGAACTATCCTATGAGGGGTACATCTGGGTCCTCAAGAGCTATCCTATGGAAGTACCGATAGGTGCTAGAGGGCTATCCTATGAGGGTACCCATAGGTCCTCAAGGACTATTATAGTGAGGAAGCCACAGGTCCTCAATGGCTATTGTATTGTGGTACCCATAGGTCCACAAGGGCTATAAGGGAGTAGGGGATCAGGAAATAAGGATATAAGAGTAAAGGGAATAAGAGGCTAAGCCTGCATGGGCATAAGGGATAAAGCTAAAAGAGTATAAGGGGATAAGGGTATATGGTATAAATGGATAAGGCTGGAAAGGATATAAAGGATAAGGAAATAACGGAAGAAGGCTATAAGAAGTACTACAACAATAGTATGAGACTACAAGGGTAACAGGCTGTACGATCTCTATATATATAATGCGAACTGGGTTTTTGTCTATTTCCAAATCAAGACTAAAGGACAGAAGTGAAACTTCATAGGAAAAAAAGCATCCGTGCAGTATGCACGGGCTCTCGCTAGTATTATATAATCACAACGATCCATCATGAAATTTCGCCAAATTTTCACGACAAAGTCTAACTCATTGTTGCTTTTATTCATCATTCAGTTGATGAGATATGGAACGAGATGTAACTTTTTTCATCTAGAGATAATTGTAGATAATTTATTTTATTGTACCATGAGGGAGAGAAGTCTCAGCTATAATATAATCATAACTTGGGTGTGGATCATTGCTGATAACCTATTGTACCAACTCAATATTTTCATCCGTAAGTTCGGATACCGGACGGCAAGATCGATGTTCATCATTGACATCTTCTCTTCCTTCAGAGATGCTTTGTCCGCATTATAATTGTTGGATATGATGGAGCTTTGGATTCCAAAGCTGTTGCAAGTTCTTCATGAATTGTCTTTGAATTTATTCCTAAAATAGTTCGAGTTTTTACATAGTATCGATCAAATTTATTATCCACTTCAAGAAATTTTTTTCGTTCAAATTAAAGTTCATCTGAAAAAATATTCTAACTAAGTCCAAAATAGAGTTACTGTATCTATAATTATAGACAATACACTCCAGCACTTATTCATGCAAAAAACACTTCAATACTGTAAACAGTTTATAAAATTGCCAATAGCGATATTAGAACTTTTGATCAGACCTACGTAAACAATATATGATTTTTGTTAGAATCGATTCACCATCACCCATTCTCAATCGAATCTTCCATGATGGATCATTTATAGAGCATGTATTGTGTCTCGAGTTTCTCTTGAAAACAATATACTTTATTTATCAAAATAAATAGCGTCATTAATTCTCCAGGATCCTTCAAGAATGAGATAAAGAACGATAATGCGAATAACAATTGCCTGTAATAAAATTTTCGTATCATAAAAGTAGCAATCATAAACTGTTTTCTGCACTCACTTGTAACAACTAACAGTAAGCGAACGATGATACGAAGCACATCAACAAATGTTGAAACAACAACGAAACGGTGGTTTCATATGTTTTCTACATCTAAAGTATCTCCACCGTCTGAAAGTAAGTATCATTAAAAGAATTAATCTATATTAGCTCTTTTAATAAAGAGTATCGGAAAGATATTTGAAATAAGGATTTCATTTATGACTCAAGTCATTTCGCTACATACTCTTTAGCTCATAATCATCATTTTTCACTTGGAAAGCGTACTATTACGAGTAGAATACAAGTTCATTTTGATAAAAATATATTGTAGGCGAACAACGACAATCATGTCGATTTGATTGGGCAAAATTATCATGGACTAGATGGATACAGATACCATTACTCTGGTGGGTAATGCCTATGCTCTCCTTGGGTAATAAACGTACGCTTGTCGAGAACGATCTTGACGATCTTTCTGTCGACGATAGATGTTCAGTTTTGTTGAACAGAGTGAATCGGAAAAGTTCCAAATGGGAAGGTACATGGCATGTATTCAATGGAACATTTTTTAAAGATTTTATAATAAGCCTTTTGCTTGTTGTTCCACTGATTATGAGTCATATTGCACAACCATTACTTATTCGTCAAATTGTTCTCTACATTAAAGATCAATCAGGATTACCTACTTATGCTGGTTATTTATATGCTATTGCTCTTTGTGTAGCTACAATTGTACAAGGTATTATTCAGCAACAAATTATGTTTCGAAATACACGCATAGGCATGCGAGTTCGTAATGTATTATCATGTGCTATCTATAAGCACTTGTTGACTGTCAATACTGCAGCTCTTCACAAGACTACTGCTGCTCAGACAATTAATTTAGTGGCAAATGATGCTGGTAAATTGGAAGAATTAAGCATGTTCATGCATGCTTTAGTGCTGGTACCTGTGGAAGCTATTGTCACGTTTGGTCTAGTATGGTGGAATATCGGTTTACCAACATTATTTGGCTATGGAATATTGCTTTTATTAGCACCTTTACAACTGATTTTTAGTAGAAAATTCAGCCGATATAGAAAGGATACCATGATATGTACTGACAAACGAGTACAAACAATCAATGAACTTATCAACGGATGTCAAATTATAAAAATGTATAATTGGGAAAAAGCTGTGGAGCAACGAGTACGTGAAACACGTCAACATGAACTTTCGAACATTTATAAAGCGAGCTACTTGAGAGCTTTTACTATTGCTCTCTCATTCGCATCATTACCTTTGATTTCACTTGCGACATTCGGTGGTAGTTGGTTAATGGGTCAAATTTTACTTCCAGAAAATATTTTCGCAGCATTAGCCTTCTTTGGTCTGGTTCGACTTCCAATAACACTTACGTTGCCATATACAATTGAAAGATTTAGTGCTGCTCGTGTTTCTGCAAGAAGAATCGATCAATTCATGCAACTAAATGTATTGTTGAATAAACTTGAGAAAATGGAAAATACAAATATGGATGATGTAATTATTATGGAAGATGCATCATTTTCTTGGAAAGATAAGCCATCTTTATTTTCTCTCAATCTTAAAATCAAAAAAGATAACTTAGTTGGAGTAAAAGGTCCTATCGGTGCTGGCAAGTCAACTTTACTAGCTGCCATTCTTGGTGAGATCAATCTTATTAGTGGAAAACTTCAACTATATGTAAATTCTATTTCATATGCTCCACAATCAGCATGGATATTTGCAGATACTATTCGTGCTAATATTCTTCTTGGTAAACCAATGGATGAAGAACGTTATAAGAATGTAATAAAGGCATGTTGTCTTGATATTGATTTACAGAATTTCGGTGAAGTTGGTGATTTATTAATGATTGGTGACAAAGGTGTTAATTTGAGTGGAGGACAAAAAGCTCGAATATCACTTGCTCGTGCTCTTTATGCTGATGCTGACGTATATTTACTCGATGATCCACTTGCTGCTGTTGATCCAAAGGTAGCAAAGAATATTTTTGATCAATGTATTGGTCCTCGTAGCCTTCTTCGTGGAAAAACTCGAATATTAGTTACACATCAGACACATTTTTTGGTTGAAACAGATCAAATAATTGCCTTGAAGAATGGTCACATTGATGAGTTACATAGTGTACAACGACCTACTATTGAGCTATTGGATGATGATGATGATGATGACGCATCAGAGGCAGATTCATCGAATACGAAAGAGTCAGATTGGACACTTAAAACTGCTACAAATGATATGAATTCGATTGTAAAGGCTGAAACATCAGTTGATGGTGTCATCAAGTGGAATATTTGGCTAAAACTGTTCACTGCACCACCTCTCCGTTGGTTTGGCTTTATTCTTATGGTTATTTTTATGCTTGGTAATGAAGCTCTATACGACTTTACAAATAGTTGGCTTGCTATATGGTCCGGTCAAGATGAAAGTGAACAACGATTATCATATTATGCTCTCGTCTATCTCGGAGTCGTATGTGCTACATTGATCGTTGCATTCATACGTGTTGGCTACATCTATTATATTATGTTGCGTGGTGCGACCTATCTTCACAATCGAATGCTCAAGGGTATTTTGTATACTTCGTTACGTTTTTTTGAAAGTAATCCAAGTGGACGAATACTGAATCGAGCAAGCAAAGATCAATTAATATTAGATGAATCGTTACCTATTGCTTTACTTGATACTATGCAATACTTACTATTGGCTGTTGGTTCTATCATAATCATTGGAACGACCAATCAGTGGGTGCTTTTAACTCTTATTCCTTTGGTTCCTACAGTATTGTGGCTTCGTCGATATTACATGTGTTCAAGTCGTCAACTCAAACGACTTGAAAGTGTAACACGTAGTCCTATCTATGCATTGTTCTCATCATCATTAGATGGACTAACTAGTATTCGTGCTTTTGACGTTCAAGGCGATTTTTTGAATATGTTTATGGAAAGAATCGACAGCAATTCACGAGCTAACTTTTATCTCATTGCCGTTGGACGTTGGTTCGGTTTACAACTTGATCTTATGGCATCTTTAATCACTTTGGTTACTGCTATTCTTGCAGTAGCATTGCGTCATCAAATGGATCCGTCGAAAGCAGCACTTAGTATCAGCTATTGCATCACTCTAACAGGTCTATTTCAATGGGGTATGCGGCAATCAGCCGAAGCTGAAAATTTTATGACCAGTGCCGAACGTATTCATGAATATGGTCAGCTAGTATCAGAAAGCCATCAAAACAATAATAAAGGCAATGTTCTCATTCAACCACCAGATGGTTGGCCTTCTCGTGGTATTATCGAATTTAAAGACTATACATTTCGCTATCGACCAGAGCTCGATTCTGTACTTAAAAATCTTAATCTACGAATTGAATCTAAGGAAAAGATTGGAGTTATTGGTCGAACAGGTATGATTAATTTCTATCCTAATAATCTGTGTTTACACTCTATAAAATCTATTTAGGTGCAGGAAAATCGTCAATTCTTCAGGCTCTATTTCGACTTGTCGATCAGTCAGCAATCAACGGAACTATTCTTATCGATGACATTGATATTGCATGTCTTTCACTCGATCATCTTCGTTCTCATCTATGTGTTATTCCACAAGTACCTGTCCTCTTCTGTGGTACACTTCGATACAATATTGATCCATTCGAACAATTCTCAGATGAAGAATGTCTGACAGCGCTTGAAGCTGTTCAACTCAAACCATTGGTACACAAGCATCCTGAGGGACTCCATCTATTGGTAGCTGAATCGGGTAGTAATTTGAGTGCTGGTGAACGTCAATTAATTTGTGTAGCTCGGGCTATTCTGAAGAAGAGCCATATACTGCTAATTGATGAAGCTACAGCAAATGTTGATCTAGCGACCGATCAAATGATTCAACAGGTGATTGCTGACAAATTTCGTGATCGTACCATTCTAACGATTGCACATCGATTGAATACAATAGTCAATAGTGATCGTATTCTTATGTTAGAACAGGGAAAAGTTGCTTATTTTGATGTTCCCAATAATCTTGATTTATCTCAAAGTGATACACAAAACTAACTTGATTTTTATACATGTATACCACAGACTATTATATTGATAAATAGTTATCTTTTGTAATGGGCATAATTGTAGTAAATGAAAGATTAGGTTTTTAACGACAGCTTAATTTATTTTATTTATTCAAGTTATTTATTTACACATAAATCTATTTGTCGACGTTTTGATATATCTAATATCATTATGAAGACAGGTGAAAATAGATTTTAGAGGGAAAGAGAGAAGTATATATATATGTGTGTTACATGAGTCATTAATACGAAAAACTATTGGTTTTTCCTTTCTTTCAATAAAAAGTAGGATAATCAACACCACTATCAGGTGTTGAAATAGTTAAATATACGCATAGTTAACTATTTGTCTCGGTTCATGGTCTATCAATTATCACTGATTTAATTTTGACTGTTGGTTTGGATATTTGTAAGCCTTCAGGGGTAAACTATTAAGGGAGCTGAACAAACAGTTCGATTTAAACTAGTTTTTTTATGAAGAGCTTGTAATGATCCCCGAACAAACAATTGATATTTTTTACAATCTTTCGAGATTATTTTCCAATCATCCCAATTGATAGCGGGATTCTTATTGATTTGATGTTTATATAAAGCTAAGGATGTGGGTGGGTGGGTCTCCACTTGTACCCACATCGATACCAACGCCCTTGTTAAATGGTTCTCGAAACTAATATTCAATGATTGGTCTTCTATAGAGCATTTGTAATCAGCCGAAAATACGTAGTATATCTTAGGTCAGAATTCGTGTTTTTCCGATCACGATTAGCTCAGCAAATGATTTCAATTTCATCTTGATTCCATGTTGGAAGAGAACATCTTACTAACGGGTAGACCATATGCATTAGGACTATTACATGTCGACGCTTCTTTTCTCCGACTTATTTTTAATAGAAAATATTCATGCATATACAAAAATAAAGGGTGTAAGTGTGAATGAGTAGGTGTGCGTGTCCGTGGAGAGTAGGCCTACACCCGCATCCCATCCCAAATTCTGTAGCAGCTTGGAAAATTTTCGAAGGTTTAGTAGTGAGATTTGAGAAAATTTTTTCATATTTACCCTTATAGGGAAATTTTCGAAATGAGTCTTGATTTCTCTGTATATGTATTAGTAAAGTCATGTAATGGTCGTTTTTTTCTTCTCATTAAGCTTTCGAAAGAGGCATTATCTATTTTCATAAACACAATTAATGTAAGTGTTATTAAAAGGAAAATGGCTTTTATTCGATAATCTAATTATGCATGTAAAACAATCGATCAATGCCCTTCACAAATTAGTTAACTGCGTCACATTTTCATAAAGTTATTTATTGTTCAATCTGTAGTATCGATTGACTGTTTTTCTATCTTTGTTTGTGTTCTCAAAAATCAGTTTGGTACGATTTGAGCCTACTTCACTTAAAAAAAAGTAATTTGAATAACAATGTACCCAAGTAAACAACAGGTGCCATGCTTTTATTGTGAATGGGTCGGACGAAAAGATAAAGCAAAAAAACCATTGGAAAAAATATCATCCTGAAGAAAGATTTCAGAAAACAACTTTACCAAATATCACTTTGGAAAAGAAGTAACTGAAGAATCCACAACGATTCCCAATGATGATGACAATACCGATATATATGAAGAGTAACAACAAACTAATGTCATTTTTTTGCCTTCATGTCTACTAACCTCAACATCAACAGTATCAACAATGAATAGTGCCACACTGCTTTCAACAACAACTCTACATACCCCATCGGTCCCAAGTGCAACATCAAATATAAATACATTGTCAGGTCCCACAGAAAATTCAAAATTGGTGAATTCTATGCAAGATCAGTTGACATTCATGGCACAACAACGTACGAAAATTAGTAATACAATTGAAAATATTCAATTAGACACAAATAACGAAGCATCATCATCACCTTTACAAGAAGATGAGATCGAACAACTATTTGAGAACATTACATGTTCAGATGATTTCTTCAAATTAAAATGTTTAGAAATTATCAATTAGATATGATCATATGTATTTCTTGCTGCAAATGAAAGAAACAAGCACCAAAATATTTTTTAAGTGCAACTAAATCTTCATTTGCTATGTTTCAACACATTGAATAAAAGACAGGTAATCCTCAATCACAAAAATTTGCAATGTATTAAATATTAGCCGCTTTCTTGAATAAATATTTTAATCCAGAAAAGTCGGTATCTAAGTGACTCTCATACCTGAGGAAATTTTTCGAAAAAATTTTACCGTCGGGGGAAATTTTTAATTTTACCTGTAGATTCTGCACCCCTGCTTCAGAATTCACCGTGTTTGCAGCAATGGAAATTCATGGTTCTTGTCATCATCAGAATACATCTAATGAATTGTACACATGTAATATGGAAATGACTCGTTCTGTTCTACATGCTATTATTTCTCAACTTGCTATTCTTATTAAGTATTCTCGACAAAAAGAGAACGCTGATAATGAATCTCAAGATTGGCAATTTGTGGCAATGGTGATCGATCGTTTTTGTCTAGTGGTTTTTGTTATAATCATGCTTCTTTTTACTACACTAATTTTTCTGAAAGTTTAACTATTTTTTCAAAACTTTAATTTATTTCTTTTTACATTTGCTAATGAACCAATTTTTATCTTAATCTTTTCTTTGTCTTAAATATATATATATATGTTTTAATAAACTCTATAGAGAAAATACTGACGACTATATACAAACTACTCGATCAATGAAATTGAATAAGACTATTTATGAAATGAATCTGAACAGCCTAAAATGAATTCATGACATCTTGAATAGTCGCATAGATCCTTTTTTTCTTTCGATAAAGATGAATATTCGACATAGAATAGTGCTAATAACAGCTGATATATTTTTGATTTCTAGCAATCTTTTTTTTCAATTTTTGAAAACAAATCTCTACAAAAAGATTATTTAATCACTCCAAAAAATGCCGAAGTTGAAAGGATTGGTATGTTACTTTCTTGCACGTATCTTAGGTATTTTTGGCAAAAATAGTATTCCATTTACACATATAATTCTTTCAAATACAATCATCACTATACTCATCAACTAAAATCGATGTTCAACGTCGAACTGACATTGAACTAAAAAAAGAATAAATGAGAAATATACGTATTCTAACTGCACGTAAATATGTAAGAAAAGAGATCAACAAACAAGATAGAATGATTAATTAATTTAAAGATAGAAATAGAGGAAAAAAGCTAAAGATTGGAAGCATGAATGATGCGAGCCCACCGATGTTAAGGGTAGTTACGTTATTAAGAAGTTACGGACGTTGTGTATCATGATAATACAATGATAATTTGGGTGCAATGGACGCTCGCAACCTATCTATTATTCAAAAACTATGGTATGTTTCGTTCAATTGAATGTTCAAATATTTTTATCACATGAAACTAGTATTGTACGAATAACGGCAGAAAAAAATTGATCGATATTTTTCTTTTATCAAATAAGTCAACAATACAATAGGTAATAAATAATTAAAGAAATAAAGCGTTAGATAAAAGAAAAAGAAGATGGATTCATTTTTTTGTGATATATACAACATTCAAGGATAACGCCGAATTAGACAAAAAACAGTCAAGATTAATAGCTGCAAGACCATAATGAAAGCATAAATTAATGTTATATTTATTAATAAAACTATAACGAAAGAATAATTTTTTTTTCTGCTCTTCAAGCTCTTTTAATTTTCTTGTAGAGTATTAAATACTAGCCACAGCAAGATACAAATACATGACAGTGAATATGGTTAAGGGAAACACAGGAATAAAAAAATAACATTTATCAAACAGATAGATGAAATCTCAAAAATAAATGGATACACATGGTATTTTAGGATGATTTAATGAACAGACGTAACGCCCAGATGCGCTTTTCATATAGATGATGATAATTATCGTTGAAAGGATGATAGTTTAGCAACATATTCTTGGAAAGTTTTAACGACTTATACATGCCATATAGATTATAAATAAGTAATAATTAAGGTAAATATTAAAAAAAAAATAAAATTAATTTAGTTTATTGTTTGTTAATAAAAATATAGGAATTAATTGTATGATCGATTTAATATAATGAATAATTATTGACAACATCAAAATAATCTTTTTTTATTCTTTGGAATTATTGTATCATTCCATTATAGACTTATTAAAATATTCTTCAATGTCTCGATTAGAATAAAGTCATTATTAGGGACATCAATTTCGTTAAGTATTATTATTCAAATCTGCATATGCATTGACGTTAGCGAAAATAAAATTTTGTCAATGTTATTGACATGAAAAAAAAAAGAGATTAAGCAAGTTTTAAGAATATCTTTGTTGGCATTAGTTCTCAAGAGAATTATGATTAATTCTATAAAAGAACAAATACCAGTGACATTGTTGATTTTTGTTTGTCTTATTGCAAGAAGAAGAGGATAGTTATATTTTAAAATCCTATTTTTTTCTTTGTTTTTACATATCTGCATTTGAAGATATGTTATTTCTCATAATCAAAGTTTTGTCTTGTGTAAAACTTGCTCCTAGTTTTGACTGTTCTTCTGGACCTAAGCCAACAGGTAATGCTCGTTCATATAAACATCATCTGCAACATTGAGACTGTTCTGAAAATTGCGTGTCATATTGTTGAATAGAACTCAATATGAGTTTTCGATCGATGTTTGAACTAGTAGCTCAAGAAAGTTAATTGGAGTCTCAAATCAACAAAGAAAAGAAGTTGAAGAAAAAGAGTGAATTGTACTTCAATCTTAACGAAGCACTTCATAGAATCATACTGATGCATTCCAGTTAGTAATGGTAGATAATATGATCAAAATTTATCGAGTATATATACCATTAGAAAGTATCTACTGATTATTTTTCAGACACTTTTTTTTGCTACAACAGGCAATGATGTAAAAAAGGGTCAAACAATGACTGTCGTTTTCGAGCTGGTCTAAACGACACATGGAACTCTTAATAA